AGGGGCCCCCCAAATATTATAGGTAATATTCAGGCCCCTATCGCATTAGCCCCAAGGCTCAGGGCATGGGTAGTCTGCATAAGTTCTGCCCACCCCGGATGAGTCATTGAAGCTGTGCTCTAGCATTGTGAAATCCTCGTCCGTGCTGTGATGCCGTTCTGATCGTCCAACTCCACGAGAGTTAGCAAAGTCAGCAAGCGGCTGCCTTCGATACATCTCGGGAGAGCTGAGCATGTCGTGGTGTCGGTTCACCAAAAACAGGATCCCGAAGAGTGAGTGACCACTGCCACATCCCCAGACCGCAACAGGTGTGTGCGCTTACCTGACACCCTGACTCAACCAATCCCTGCCGCGATGTTTGATACCCCTAAACACTAAACCCTAAACCCTAAGCACCGTAGCCAATTTGGCTCAAGCGATTTGATTACTCGAGAAATCAACTTGGATCTTTGTGTCTCTCCTAGGCAGCGTCCGCACGATGGGAAACACACCATCCCTCCCAGAAGCCGAAGAGGACAAGACCATTGAAGAAGTGGCAGCCAGCGACGGGCATATTGCTGCCACACAAGCGTTGGAAGATTATCCTCAACGCTTCCGAGTGGCCGCTACACGAAAGATGGTGACTTCGGTCAGGTTGGTCCCGGCTGACCACATGAGCACAGGGCCGAAGGTCCTCGGCAGTGCTGAGATCAACGCGATGATGAAGAAGCCCTTCACAGGTGCTTTGTTCACACATAACCTGGCCATGACCCGGAAGCACATCGGTACGAATGCCATCGTGTACAAAGCGGCTGCGGTCTGCCTGACATTGGCGGGAGAACTTGGCTTTGCTGAGAACCCTCTCATCATCGACAAGAAGAATGTTGCCTCGAAAGAACATGAAGGCATCAAGAAGGACACTCCTGTGAGTCGGATTGCCGTAGCCGACACGTTGACCGAGGAAATCATTAACTTGGCGCTGGTGATGATGTCTCGATTGGCGACACTCGCCTATACGAGGCGCCATACCCTTGGAGGGATGGCTGTTCCCAAGGGACAAACTTATGCTGGCTCCCTTGACCGAACGGTCGCTCGTGCAGCCTCTCTCTTCGGTATTGACACCAGCACGGCAGACGGAAGGAAGGCCTTTTACGGAATCGCAAAGACCGTGGATGTGGCCGGATACTCGTTCAACGTGCTCGCGCACATCGACTCGGAGTCGGGCCTACGAAGGGTGCAACTCGCGGTTATGCCTCACGAGGCTGGACACCCCGCGGACTTAGACGACTGGCATGTACTCCCGGTGGCGCTGGAGGAGCCGCCTAGGTTTCAAGGGGGCCCTGCGGAACTTCGGGGAATCACAAGAACAGTGGAGAGGATCGCGGAGCTCGACGCACTGGGAGTACTTCTCCTAGGGAACAGCGAGGTACAGGCTCGCCTGTTCCTGCAGCTCCTGAAGGGGTCCTTGCCATTGCTTCACTTGGTCCACCCGTATACGAACAACCTCCTTCGCAGAGCGTTCTCAGCCGGCACCATGGCATCTATTCTGTCAGCAGGAGGTCTAGAGGCTATGAGGAAAGCCGCAGCGCCACTCGCAGCAATGTACTTCGGGATTTACTCGGGCGAAACCGGGGCACGTGTGGGTCCAGCAGATGCGAAAGCTGCACGAGCGCATCCTGCATGGACAGACCTTGGCAAGCGTCTGTCTGCTCATGTGAGTCTCTCGAAAGTGGACGATGAAACCATCAAGAGAGTGCTCGCAGCGACCGGAGGGTCAGTCGATCGCACCTCCACGCCAGCACCGATCCGTGCCAAGCGTGAGGCCATGTCGATCGAGATGAAAGCCTTGGCAGCCCCTGGTGAGCTCTTCATCGGGTTGGAGGGTGACCCCGACAGTGGCATCGGCGGGTTCGAATCCATGAACCTAGGCGAGTTTGATGGCGAAGTTCAGATCCAAAGCAAGGTCAAGCCTCAGGACTTGAGCTCGCTGCTTCCAACTACAGGACCTGGAGGTTTCTTCGGCACAGGCTTCTTCGGCGCCAAGAAGCTGGAGTTGTCCGACAAGGACATCAAGAGGATCATCGAGGACGCATTCACGCAAGCGGGTGCTGAAAACAGTATGAACGAGCGTGAGCACTATGAGTTGGCAGAATCCTATGCTGAGGGCCTAAAGCAGGCCGTGGGAGCTGGAATTGATCAGTCCAAGGCCGAAGAGGTGATCCAACTCGTCACAGGTGACATTGTTAAGAACATTACCGCGCTACGCGAGCGCCAGGAGCGCCGCCGCAAGGACCGCGAGGACCGCATCGCCATGGAGAAGGCCGAGGCTGAGACTCGCAAGAAGGTCTTGGAGTCAATCGGCGCGAAGAAGCAAGAGGTGCTGACCGAATGGCGTGCGCTTTCGATATCTGCACGCACACGGGATGCACTCCTCAAGATCTGCAAGGAGAAGCTCATTATTGCGGATGATCTCGAGGACATGCTGGATGATGACGAGCGCGAGGTGGTGTTCTCAGCTACTGAGTTGTCCGAGGCAGCCCCTCCTGCTGCCACAACTACCCCGAATGCCCAAATGGGGGCAACATTGGCTCCAGCGTTTCTGGAGGTACTGGGGGCATGCGGCACGTGAAAGACATGACAGTCCCCTACGACAATATTTTATGTGCCTAACTGGGTTCAGGTTGCGAAGGCGACTCACACAACCGGCGGCTGTGGTTGATACTGATGCTCGTAAACTTCAACAAGTCTATACGTGTTTTAGATTTAACCATTCCTATAGCATGTGGATGGACGCAGCAGAAGATCGACACCTCTGGAATAGCCTGGAGTTTTTCTGGCTTCAGTATTGGGTTACCCCCATCCCAGACCCTATACCTCCAGACTATCTCATGGGTAAACAACTGGTCGCCTTTGCGGATTACTGGTCTACTTTTCGCCCTGCACGTAGTCTCCCATTTGAGAAACCCTATGGTCAACCCTTCAAGCTAATATCACATATTCATAATGACTTTGACAAACGTAAAGGCCTCATCCTTCTGCTAATTCAGCATAGTGACCAGGGATGTTCTGTGGTAACAGGTACAGCTGGGCTCGACCCTACTACGATACTAGTCACCCAACTTCCCCCACATTATGAAGATCCGGTAAATAATCATCTTGCTAGCCTCCTGGTACTTGGCACGCTCATTAAAATACTACGAAAGGAAAGCAAGTGCCTTGTCACACCCATCATCAGCCCAGGAATCTTTTCGCGCAGTGTACTTGCCAATACTTCGGATAAAGCAGACCCCACTCTCCAGGCAAGATGGCTCTCACTCGACCAACGATTTGACATCCTAGGCAGTACTTTCCTAGCTCCTAAAAACATCCCGGATAGGCTCCGCCGGTTCTTTCACCCAACGTACAATGCCACACCAGTTAAAGTATTGCAACGAAGCTGGGATTTCAGGGAAGCAACCTACGTACCCTTTCGTGAATTTGTCAACTCCTAAAGAAGCTTCCCCCTCAAAACCGTCACCTCTTAAAGAAGCCTTCCCTCAACACCCCCCAAAAAAAAAACAAGGATGAGACAGGCAAAGAGAGGGGGGAGGGGGGGGGGCAGGGCGGGCAAAAAAGGTACGCCGGGCGCATACGCCGCGGAACGGATGACAGGGGTTTGCACAGATGCACGCATGTCAGTCTCTGCCGCATGAGTCTCAGGATGTGCACTTGTTCTGACTTCAACTGTGCATGCTACTCACACATGTCGCTGTGCTTGCTGACTCAGGCGCTCCTACTTGCAGACCTACTGCCTCCCATAGCCCCGGCCCGAAATCCTCAGTGCCCCCGGCTTTCGTTTCCCTTGACGCATCATGTGGCAAGAGCTGCAGTGGCTCTTCATTCTCGGGCTCAGTGTGATCTATGGTCTGCAAGCGACAGGTTTGTCTGCACGTGCATGGAATTTGGGCATGAGAATGTTTACCCAGCAGGGGTCTCGTGAGAGCCCCTCTTTTGGACCGGACCCCCCAGGACAAGAAGCCCTAAGCAACGAACCTGCCTGGGCAGCCGCTCTGAAAGAGAGCATTGAGCATCTTATGGGACTGATGAAGGCTTCGTCTTCTGACCCGCCTGCATGGGGAGACCAGGTGGTGGCAAGCCTGGAACGTGTCAAGTGCATGCTGGATGCCTTAGCATCGCCGACGCCAGCTCAAGGTGTGCAAGATGCCCTCTCAAATATAGGGGACATTGTCGAAGAGAGCAAGAAGGTCCTCTTCAGCCTGGCAGCCAAGAGGCCGCACCTTGACCTGCTCCCGGAAATTCAAACTGCATGTGATGTTGTGCGCGACAAGCTCGAGACTGGCGCCTGCATGCTCACTCCACAGGCCCGCGCTGAAGACAGAGCCTTCTCGCAGAACGCCCTCAAAGAACTCAATGACCTTGGAAAAGGGCAGCAGAGCTTGCATGGAGAATATAAAGAGGTGAAGCAGCTGTGCCAGGAAACCAAGCAGAAGATCAACAGCACCTATGGACTGGAAAGGATATATCACCATATCTCGACGGTCTTGCAGTCCCAGAAAAATTTTGGGACATCTATGCCCAAAATCATCAAGTGTGAACACGATGAATTAAAAGTGGACATAGAGTCGCTCTGTGAAAAGATTGTGCGGGTTGAGGAAGCTCAGCAGCACATCTTGGCCACTTTGCATGAAGTGCAAGCGACGTTGCACCAGAAGAGTAGCCCACCGGAGCCTGTGCAGCCAGATGGACAACACCCCCATGCCCCTCGCTCCTTCCCAGCTAGCAGTGACAACCTACGTGTCCCCGATTATGTACCCTCCATACCTGTCCATCAGGCTCCAGCATCTCCGGGTCCTGCTAAGTTTTCGTTGGAGCAGGCCCTAGGGCCAGGACCCAGCACGCCGCCTACTCATTTTCCTATGCATGGCCACCCGCCAACAAATCCATCGGATCTTCTCGCTACTATGTCTATGTGTATGGATATGATGAAGGCCATGCAACAGCACCAGTCCCGCAATGCCTAGTGGTTTCTTGTATTTTGCCTTACCTATTTGTTTTATCATCCTACCGCTGTGTTTGTACTTTATCATTGTTATATTGCGGGATACCTCCTGAGTTACGGCAAATGCACCCTGAATTTATGAATCTAGAATTTATGAATTCACGAATAATTCCTAGACACGCCTGTCCCTGTAGTATGCATGTGGTGCCTAAATGCGGTGCCCAGATCCGATCGCCTGTGTGAAAACAGAGTGAAATGCATTGTCGTGGGAGTCACTTTATGGGCTCCGCCCGCAGACCCAAACTGGGCAGTTCCTATCCGTAACAAACACCCCCGTTTTTATTTGAAACCGACTTTCATTTGCCTTTGCCTCGGAAACCAGGACTTGCAGTATGAGCCGTGATGTAGCCTTGGCTCATCAGACTAGTGTACTCTTCATGTACATGCACAGCCATGTGGGAGACTGTCACACGCAACCCGATACTGCTCCTTCCTGCTTTGGGGGCTGCATGGGCACTGACGTGGGGACTACGCTTTGTTTATGATAAACATGTGCGACCTGTACTTCACCAGCTACAGCGCCTTCTACAGCTGCAAGAATCGGGACTTGCTGTGCTATCGACCATGCAGCTCAGGCTGCAAGAGCTGGACAAAATACCGGTTCTAGAATTGCAGATAAAGGCCCTTCTGGGGACAATGCGTACCCACACACTCCTGCCAGCGATTGATGCACGCCTACGGAAAATGGAGTACGACATGGACCAGATCCGAAGGTCCATCCTCCAGCTGAGCACCGAAATGAAAGACCTTCATAACATAGCATCGGAGGCAATTCATTTGCATGACGACTTCACTAATGAAGTGATTGATATGCAGGCCGACCTTTCCGATGCCATACCAGAGGTTCACAGGCTATGTTCCCTGATTCGCCATAGGCTTGATGCTCAGGATTTCATACTGCAATGTCTATTTTACTCTTTAGACGAATCCTTTCTATTAGCCTGTGACCTCGCCAATATCGTAGAGGAGGCCATTGACCCACATTGTCCCTATCCCTTTACCCTCAGACTTGCACATAGACCCCGTGGCCAGGGCCCCAGACCCCATAATCGGCAATACTACTAGATACTGCTTCACCCTCATTAAATGATTGCTTTACTTCCCACACCCAGATATGCATACTACGAATTTAAGATGTTTGAATTTATTTGCATCACCTAATGCATGCAAGGAGTCCGCACGGGCATGCTGCAGCGAGACTTTAAAACCCAAAAGAGCGCTCTGTCCTCTTCGCAGTACTCGTTAAAACCTAAAGGCCACCGGTAGTCTTGGGCTCGAGCAGTGCTACATTCCCCTGCCCCCAGACAAATGCACCTCCTTCCACGCTCGGATACTCTTACACCTTGGGAACTCAGTAGGGAATGTATCTGGGGCCTTGAAGTCCAAAACATGCTACTACAATTCCCGCCGGATCTTTGTTATGTTGCAGCCTCCAGGCTCCTCGTTAGATTCAGACGAATGCGTAGCATGATTCCTTTGCAACATAGCGGATCGGTCCTCTGGTCATACTGGGCTACTTTAATGGATGTTATTTCCAGCACACTCGCCGCGCATGAACAAGATAGACCAGATACAATTAGTATTAACGACAATAATCGTATCTTCCTTTGGGCTGAGCGTGTGTCTAGGCGTGTTTACCACACACTAGACTGCTACTCTGGTACCTACACCAACTGGAACCTTCCTTTTCTATGGCCAACAGGGGATGCTCGACTTCGGAGTGAAAGGGTCTGTTTTGTCAACCCAGCACACCCAGACAATGTACAACCGCCCTCCCCGGAAGTGCATTTTCGTTTGATGCATCCACAGAGACCCCTTTAGCCTCAAGCTTCCTGTGCTTGGGTGAGTTGTCGGCAATGTCGCGTGAACAGGTCGAGCTTAAACCGAAACTCAGACGCGAGTTGCAGAACATGCCTGCAGGAGTGGCTAGGATAGCTGCCGACTCCCTATAGCAGCGCAGTACATACCCCTTGGACGGTATAGTAGTTGTCCATGATGCCATTATGGAGTGTGCCCCGTACTGGCTAGATAGTTCTGCGGACCCCATAGCCGACAATGTACGCACTCACACGCGGGAAGAAGTACATGATTGGGTAGTTTGGATGGAACGACAGGTATATGAAACCTCTGTGATAGTTGCGAGGACATTCATGCCCCCTACTCCTATGCCCGAACCCGCGACTTCCTCCGAACCTTTGCAGTTCCCCCCCGAACCCGCTACGTCCTCGGAACCCATACCGCCCCTACAAAGTCCCGATACCCGACATGTTGGCACACAAACCAACTGGAGTATTCCACCTGATATGTGACGGCATGGCTCAGATGGCTCCCTTTGGTGAAACCAATACGGAACCCCAATCCCACATGCCTAACACTACTCAACAGGTTTCTGAACTGAAGAGGCAGATCCTCCAATCATTTGATGATGCCCCCACAAAATATAAGATCACGGAAGGCTCGGGGCACACGCTTACTTTAGGGCTTAACCCCCGGGACCTGACACGCCTCTGTGTTGCAACGGCCCCACTACAATATTTAACCTGTCAACTAAGTAGCCTTTTTAACCTGGTTACCCCTCATCATAAGTTCTCAACTATTACTGTTCGGGATTCGGCCGGTAAAGGGCTTCACCGAGACCTTCGGAATTCACACTATCCACAAGCTATAATTCCCTTGAGTGAATTCACAGGGGGTGAGATTTGGGTTGAGTCACCATCGGGCACTGTACAAAGGGACTATATGGGAGGGATCATTCAGGGCTCCTTGCATAGTTTCGATTCTGGGGCCCCGCTCATCTTCACAGGCAAAAGGCTCCTCCATGCAACCGAGGATTGGAGTAATAGACGAGTAGTGGCTGTGGCCTTTACAGTCATGGGGTCCATCAGCATTCCAAGAGAGCTCGATAGCGCACTTAGTTCATTGGGCTTTATTACACCGGATAGCTTAGAAGTTGACTTCTACTCTAGAGTGCTGATGGGTCCCGGACAACTTAAACAAACTACAATATGCGACTTCCCGAGGACTACACCACGGAAAGTATGGGGAGTAGGAAAACTCAAACAGGGCCTTCCGGTAACCTTGGTACTTAGCGACAGCGAAGATGATCAGGTTACACATACAGAGGCAGCTGATCTCCCCCCTACAACACATGCAAGTAGTCTAAGCACAGCTAAACGCCCTCGGCCCACTCAAGTCGACTCCTATACCTCAGATTCCCAAGCCACGCTGCCTTGGCCTGTGGATACCGTCGCAGGGGCGTAATTCTCGACAGTGGCAGGAGTGTGTGTAAGATGCACTCCATGGAGGGCCTGGTATGTGTGGGGTTTGCCTTTGATATCTTTGGGGCTTGCCTACTATTATAACTTCCTTGCCATACTGCATTCTGTGTTGTATCACCCCACTATGTCCCTATCCCTACATATCCCTTACTTCAGCATGTTTTATACCCTTTGTCCTGGTCGTCTATGGCTAATCTAGTGTTATCTTCGTATTGAGCATACTCCACATCGGCCCCTGATTTATTCGGCCTGTAAACCTTAAGAAGCCACTAACCCACGCCCCGCGCCGACAACATGGCACTGTCGAATGGACTGGACATGTTGCAAGATGTATGAGCTGCATGATAACTGCCTGCCATGGACTGCATGGAATTTACAACTACATATGCATGGCCTCCGCTGCCAAACATCTACATGTCTGCATGATCTCAGCTGCCAAATGACAAAAGAGCCTGAACATGTGTGTCTGCACGCTGGGTGTATAATATGGGCAGCAAGACAGTTGACCAAAGAGCCACTATGACCTCTCGCTGTGAGAACAACCCTGCTGGTTTTCTGGAATTTGTTTGCATGAGGCAGGAACCTCAGCGATGTGGTTGACGCCTTCCCAAGTCACTGACAGCGACTTCCCCTATGGATAACTGCATGAGGAACGTTTCGCCGTATATATTTGGAGGCCATTCCTCCTGGAGTTTATTGCATGATGGCAAACACAACACGGGGAAGACATGGCTGACCAGGCAAACTTGAGGACGACGGTCAGTTGGCCTACATTATACGACTGCAAGAGACTGCATGAAGGGCTCTTGAAGATGAAGTGCGAATTCATAACAACCTGTGTCCACACCTCTGCATGCTTTTGCCATTAGCGCCGTTTTCGGCTGCTCTGGCAGATCTGAACGAGCTGGAACATGTGACGTCGTCTGCCATGAGGTGACTAGACATGATTGAGTGCGATGTTCGCGTTGTACTCAATCCTGTCTAGACACCATCCAGTGAGCTAATTCATATACTGAGGGGTGCATGCTAGAAGTTGTTCACAAAGAAGTATCGGATCATCATACTGCAATGTAATTATATCGTCCTGTGGCTACGAGGTGAAATTTCTCTAGTCAAGTCGGGTAACTAGTCCAAATCATATGTAGGTTGCTCCACATACTCCAACCGTTTCACCTTTGTCATCGATAATGTCAGAATTAGATGCTCGTAATGTCGGCAACAAGCTGACTTTTGGGGATCGTCAAGTGTTTGATCCCCACAACAGATCGCAGTGCCTGAGTCAACCCGGCTCTTCCCTGTCGCATATAACTACTGAATATTGTAGGGCTTGATCCCTATACCCCTGACCCTGAGCGATCTGCCGAGTCTACTGCCTTGGAGTCCGAATGTCCCTGATGCTTCAACTTGGATTCCGAGGAGAGGTTTCGCAGACAGGTACAGTTACTTTATGTGTTGATAGCCTTTGTTGCTGAAACGTAGTGACGAAGCCTCTTAGTGTCGTTTCACTTTGCAGACTCGAACTCATATGCCTCGCCTGGTTTGTCCGAGTGTGAGCGCCGAAACCCTAAGCACAAGACCGTAAACACTTAACCCTAAACCCTAAACACTAAACCCTTCCGCCCTCGGTTTTTGCTCTTACAAAGTTCCCTGAGTCCGCAGGTGGCAGAGACTGCGCCGGACGGGA